ATTATCGTATCCGTTTGGGTGCCAATTAAGAGATTTTATTATCATAGTTTATAAATAAGTTTTATTTATTCGCTACGTTGATTATATAACTATAACGTAGGTTGAGCCAGTTGACTACACTGATCTAAGTACAGAATTGACCTTATCTCTTATCAATCTACGTCCGAAACCTAAGTACAGAATTGTTCTTATCGCTGAAGCTCGCCCTTACATTGACAAAACAATTGAGCTCGTGTCCCACGACTGTATTTTTATCTTTGTTAATATGTTGTTGCATACAAAAATACGATTTGGAAAGATTCATGTCAATAGCTTATATACTGCGCGAAATAACCTGAAAACTTCAAATTTTAACCTACTTCAACCATATTGTTCCAATGGGAGCTATAGGATATAGACATCCGATCATCAGGCGCTTTTACCCTGATCAAGGTATGCATAAAAAAATACGATTGGGAAAGATTCATATCAATAGCTTATATACTGCGCGAAATATCCCTAAAAACATCAAATTTTTACCGATTTCACCCTATAGGAATCTATGGGAGCTATAGGATATAGACGTCCGATCGGCACGCGCTTTTATCCTGCTTAAGGTATGCATGTTATCCAACCCATGAATATTCTTAGTCTATGAGTTTCATAAACAATTTTTCAATCGTACCAACCGCTGAAAAATTTAAGCTTCGCTAGCAAAATCTCCCCTCACTCAAACCGGGCACATTCGGGCTATTGTAAACAAATAACCCTTTCCAATCTTAGCAACCGCTGGAAATTCTAGCTTCGTTAACAGAATCTTCCCTCACTCAAACCGAGCCTTGTGAGAACCACATCCGGCCTACTGTAAACAAATGACTCCAGTCATAAACAAAGCTTCCAAATTTTCCACTTAGGGTCCGATCTAGTCCGAGCCAGTTGCTAACCAAATTTTTGTCAAATAATCAATTTATTGAGTTTCAATTACTTCTCAATTATTTCATCAGCCAATTGTCCCACTCTCTTAACTTTGCCTAATCTCTTTTAATCTCTTCTGAGCAAGATACTCTTAAGCCGAGGTTTCATGATTAATATTTTATCAAACCAAGAGCAGTTCTTTTTTGGAGACGACTCGATCGGTCGCGAAAATTTAAGTTAATACATAAGTGACTTGTGAAAGTGAATTTGAAAAAAAATAAAAGGTGAACATCATAACAAAATAAAAAATTATTTTTTAAAAAAATTATCAACTAATAAATTTAGTTTGCATACAAAAATAAGACTTGAAAAGATGCATGTCAATAAGTTTTACACTGCGCGAAATATTTTTAATTCTTGCAAGGTATAGGATATAGACGTCCGATCGGGGCGCTTTTCGAACTTGATCTGCGTACACAGAGTTTACAAGACTTATTCCAAAAAGCTGCCACTTAACGTAAAGTCGTTTATTTCGGAATGGCACTATAAAAAGGCAACAGCTTCACTCAGAGCAGCATAAATTTAGATATACCGCTTTTGAATGTTATATACATCGGATTGTAAGTCTAAATGGCAGGAATGCGTATAAAGTACGCGAGAATGACTTATTACTGATGGAATGTCGTTAATAAATGATGTATAAATAAGCAAGACAGGATGAGAAACAGAATTTTCAAAAATGACTCTTTGATACCTGTCACTCAGATAACTTAAGACACATATAAGGAGACTGAAAACCCTAACGGGAAAAATTTCCGAACGAGAAGTAAGAGATTTTCAGAGTCAAATGCTTATTTAAAGTAAGTGTAACACAAAGAAGATCTAAAAGAAGACAGCAGAATACTAGGTTCGACTTGGAATACAGTAGAATAAGAAATATAATAAGTAAAGGGGGCAAATTGGATATTTCCTGATCTGTGGTTGTCGTCATGTTTTCAAGCGACATGGAGGAAGGACTAATTCTTAAGTCTTACGATTGGTCTTAACAACGTTAAAATACGGTTTCGGGTCCTGCGAGAACTGGAGCTTACAAGGGTGAATCTTGACAGAGTACTTAAATATCTGGCAAAAACCGATTAAGAACCGGTATTTCTAAATTTATTATAAACTCTAGACTTTACAGAGTTTGAGTGTATCAACTCTTTATTTTATTGCAGGAAAAAAAGGGCATCGGACATATTATTGCATGAGTAAAATACAAACCAATTAAAGCCAGAAATAAAATTATTTTGTCTGTCTTCCGAAAATAATTAATTCGTTTGGTTTAATTCTCTGATTTTTTAGTTAGTAAGAAATTCGGTCTATCCTCCGAGGACTAGGTGGTTTTAGTAATCAGGAAGTTTAGACAACGGCGGAATATATGTATGTGTCCCTTTGAATTGCATTGAAAGCGCTTAAGGGAGGGGGTATTTTATTACAATTTTTTTTTGCATATATTTTTTATTTTTTTTTTCTGAATGCACTATATTATGAGAATATTGTATTAAAGTTTTAGATCGATTCGAGTAAAGCTTCCGAACTTATGGGCAGTTGAACGTAGGTAAGTTAGCTCGTTTTGTATGGGTGTCCAAAACTTTAAAACGCTCTCCTGAAAAGTTACCCTTTTCAAAGTCGGTGTACACGATCCTGTAAAATCTATCGGACGGATCGTTTTGAAATATTGCACAGTTGTTTTTTTGTTTTTTATTTTATTATTTTTAGAGGAACAAATATTTCGAAGTTTTAGTCGAACATCGGGGGTTTTGACTTTCAAAAGCCTTAAAAAATCGAAAAAAAAAAAATAAAAATAAAACTCGACAGCGTTACCTGAGGAATCTAGTTCCTTAACTAATGCAATTGGATTTTTTTATTTCAGATGATTCTGTGAGCGGTTATCGTGTACACCGCAAAACATCTTTTCTTCGAGGCGCCGCCGGAGATTGCCTGTATTTCAGTCAAGTTTTTAATATTTTTGGAAGAAAGAAATCACATATATTGTTTAAATGTTGCCCAATCACATGCAAAAAACAAGAGAGAACGCTATAGTCGAGTGCCTCGACTATTAGATACCCGTTACTCAGCTAACCAACTTAATATAAATATGCCTTCTTGTGTTTTTTTTGTTTTCTTTTTTTTAACATAATGTGAATTATAGTGACCACAGGAAAAAAGGACAAAAAGTTCAAATTATCAATTTGAATTCGGCGATCTCTTAGAGCTGGCAGCTTTACAGCACGAGCATCAGCACCAGCGCTGCTTTAGCGCAGGCAGCTTTTGTCCTGCACCAGCAGCTGTGTTTATGTTTATGTTTTTGAGTGCAATAAATTGACTAGAAATATTAAACATACATACATATATTGGCTAAACACATACATTCTTAAATAGTGTATATGTATATTAAAGTCTAAAGTTTGCACAACACGAGTAACGGGTATAGCGAATAGCTTTCTTTGAAAAGAGTTATCTTTGCGGACAATTGCAACTGTGTACAATGTACATACATACATATGTATATGCTTACATACATACACACATACGCCATTGTTTGACTCAGATCTCCAATTTGGCTAACTAGATTTGATTTGCATAGTTCTTGGGATATAGTTCGGTATTGACAAATGAAAACCATCGCAATTTCCTTTAATATAAATCCTTATCGAGAATTAACGTTGACTCTGTTGAGTACCTTGGCCAGCTGTTCCAAAGTCATCCGTTAGATGGCGCTACGCCATGAAAAGCGGAAATGTAGGCGCTAGCCAGGCTTAAGCGTTTAATGGGTTTTTGGGCGTTAGAGTGGGCGTGGCAAACTTTTATTAGGCCAATCGATAGGTATTGACGAAACAAATACATATCAATTAATTTTCATAATAGCATCAAAACTCTGTGGGCGCAGAGGTGCACCATTTTGAAATAAACTTGCGCTGTGTAGGAACTCCTAAAATCTATATGCAAAATGCCAATCTTCTAGCTTTTATAGTTTCCGAGATCTCAGCGTTCATACGGACAGACAGACGGACAGACAGACAGACGGACAGACGGACATGGATAGATCGACTCGGCTAGTGATCCTGAACAAGAATATATATACTTTATAGGGTCGGAAACGCTGCCTTCTACCTGTTACATACTTTTGCACGAATACAATATACCCTTTTACTCTACGAGTAACGGGTATAACTATTAAATCAAACCTTTTTATATTACCTTGTAAATAATGTTAAAACTAAAAAAAAACAAGAAAGGAAAGCTAACTTCGGGCGGAGCCGAAGTTGATATACCCTTGCAGAATATTGTACATTATATTCTCCAAAATTATTCATATGATGCACTCTTAATACTCATAAAAAATCCCAACTTCCTAACTTTACAAACACCAAAGTTATGGCTTTTCCGATCGTTCAGTTATATGGCAGCTATATGATATAGTCGCCCGATTCGGCTCGTTCCGACTTATATACTACCAGCAGTAGAAAGACAACTTTTGGGAAAGTTTCAAGCAGATAGCTTTAAAACTGAGGGTCGGAAATGTCTCCTTCACTGCGTTGCAAACTTTTGACTGAAATTATAATACCCTCTGCAAGGGTATAACAAGAAAGGAAAGCTAACTTCGGGCGTAGCCGAAGTTGATATACCCTTGCTGAATATTCTGTAAATTATATTCTCCAAAACTATTTATAGACTATAGCGTTCTCTCTTATTTTAAAGTTAGGAAGTTGAGATTTTTATGAGTATTAAGAATGCATCATATGAATAATTTTGGAGTTAGCTTTCCTTTCTTGTTAATTTTTTTTTTTTGTTCTTTGGGATTTGGTAATATTTAAATACTATGGAATTACTGTTTTAATTAAATTAAATTCGGACATCAATACCATATAGATCCCATAAAAAATCAAATAAATTTAAAAAAAATAAAAATTTAAGACAATTTTTATATTGCTGCTTTTTTATTTATCAAAGCATTCTTTAGGGATAATATTATTATTTACTATATCAGAATTAGTTTTGTTAACTTCGGACAACAATATAATGTAGCTGCCATAGAAACGATTGCAAAGTGTAGCGAAAAATCGACATAGTTTCATTGTTTTTAGTAATATTGGCATAGAAATCAAAATGTAGACGATTTTAATAACTGCAAGGGTAAATAAACTTCGGCTTTCCTAGTTTAGGTCATTTTCAAGGTAAACAAAAATCATTACTGAGATAAGCAAAGACAATTCGTGCTTGAATTTCTTTATGACGTCATCCGTGTTTTTTTCGGCTTCGCTCAGCTGTCAAAAACAACAAAGTTATGTAAATTCTTCTATACATTATTTAATCGTTCCCAGGGCATCTATAAGATTAAAATGAAATAGTATTTTTGAGATAGAAAATAATAGGGTGGGTTAGGTAAGAAAATGGGGTTATGTCAAATTTTCTATTAATTTTTCGATCTTTTTTTAGGCAGTTGCACCTGTAGAGGGTACTTAAATTATGGTCGGATGTTTGCAACGCAATGAAGATGACATTTCCGACGCTGTAAAGTATATATATTCTCGATTAGTTATATCCGAAAATCATATCCTTTAGCTGCAATAGCAACAATCGGATAAAATTTGCAACATTTGGTTGTTATAGAAGAATTCTACGTATATGACTTTATTGACTAAAAACCTCATTATATAATTTCGGATCCATCCCATGAACCGAATATATATTAATGTACTAAATATGTACACCTCCTAATAACTTCGGAAAAAAAAATGCAAAAAAAAAAAAATTATATATAAACTTTGGCTTGCCAAAGTCGTGGAAAGTTAATACCAAAATATAATTGCAATTGATTTTCCTCTACGCACCTAAGTTTCGCAAAAGTCCATATAAGCATCTATTTTAACAAGAAAGGAAGCAAACTTCGGCAAGCCGAAGTTTATATACCTTTGCAGTTATTACAAATCGACTATATTTCGAGCTATGTCGATTTTGCACTGTTGTCCGATTTTAACAAAACAAAAAGCGTAATTCTGATAGTAAATAATTACTATATCTCAAAGGAATATTATGATAAATAGAAAAACAGCAAAATACAATTTTTATACCCTTGCAGAGGGTATTATAATTTTGGTCAGAAGTTTGTAACGCAGTGAAGGAGACGTTTCCGACCCTATAAAGTATATATATTCTTGATCAGGATCAATAGGGGAGTCGATATAGCCATGTCCGTCTGTCCGTCTGTTTCAATACCGTTTGCGAGCTCAGTTTAAAAGCTAGCGATCTGAAACTTTCACACTCGTCCTAAAACATGTGTACGCAGATAAACGCGCCGTGTAAAAGCTATTGCTATAAATTTTTTCAAATTGTATTTTTTTTATGCATTCCTTCATCAAGGTAAAAGCGCGTGCTGATCGGACGTCTTTATCCTATAGCTCCCATAGGAACAATCGGATATAACTTTCAAGAATGGAAGATATTTCGCGCAGTGTAAAAGCTATCAAATTGTATTTTTTTATGCATTCGTTCATCAAGGTAAAAGCGCGTGCTGATCGGACGTCTTTATCCTATAGCTCCCATAGGAACAATCGGATATAACTTTCAAGAATGGAAGATATTTCGCGCAGTGTAAAAGCTATTAACATAAATCTTTCCAAATCTTATTTTTTTATGCATACCTTGATCAGGGTAAAAGCGCTTGGCGATCGGACGTCTATATCCTATAGCTCCCATAGGAACAATAGGGTGAAATCGGTTAAAATGTAATGATTTTTAGGATATTTCGCACAGTATATAAGCAATTGACATGAATCTTTCCAAATCGTATTTTTTTATGCATACCATGATTAGGGTAAAAGCACGTGACGATCGCACGTCTATATCCTACAGCTCCCATAGGAACAACAGGGTGAAATCGGTCCAAATTTGACGATTTTCTGAATTTTTTCGCGTAGTGTGTAAGCTACTGACATAAATTTTTCCAAGTCTTATTTATTTACGCATATCTTGATTAGGATAAAAGCGCTTTTCCGTAGGAAAAGTAGTTAAAGGCTGCGAAAGTATCAATTTTTTTCTATTTTTATATGACATTTTTGCAGTATAAAAGCAATTGACATTAAACGATGCAAATCTAGTTTATTTATGTATACCTTATTCCTTTCGCTACTTTTTCAGTTTTAGTAATTTCGGCAAAGTCTGCAAGGGTATTAAAACTTCGGCTTGCCGAAGTAGGCTTCCGTCCTCGTTTTGAATTATTATTTTATTAAATATTTCGATTTTCCTATGGGAGCTATATGATATAGATGTCCGATTTTAATTTAATTAAAACCAATTAAATTAAATTAAACAAAAAAAATTTAAATATTACCAAATCCGAACAACAACAAAAAAAATTAAAAACAACAAAGTTATACTTGTCTGATTGTTCCTATGGGAGCTATATGATAAAGACGACTTATATACTACCTGCAATAGAAATGAAACATTTGTTAAAGTTTCAAGCAGATAGCTTTAAAACTAGTTTGCGTAGAAACAGACGGACAGACAGACGACGGACAGACAGACGGACATGGCTAGATCAACTCTCTTGTTGATGCTGATCAAAAATATATATACTTTTTAGGTTCGCAAATGTCTCCTTCCTTGCGTTGCAAACTTTTGACCGAAATTATATTACCCTATGCAAGGGTATAGAAAGAAAGTAGACAAAACATCTCTGACTTCTGAGAAACCCTTGCAAAATAAGTGCATTTAAAATTTTTAAAACCATGTGGACGTCCAAATTTGCTTGTCTTTTATATTTAGACATAGCTTCATTGTTTAATGTAGGCATAAAAATTGAAAAATAGTCGTTTTGTAATAGCTGCAAGGGTATATAAACTTCGGTTTGTCGAAGTTTGCTTCCTTTCTTGTTTCATAATGTATCTGGTTTAAAAGACTTATATTCATAAGAATGATCAAAACAATTTATAATAAAAACGCCTTTTCTTTTCAGTTTTATTCGCCTGTGAGGGATTATTCGAAAACAAAGAGTGCTGCACCAAACTTTGAAGAATAAATTACATTTCTGAAGATACTGTAATATAAAAGAGATGTAATTTATAAATACTTCAAACAAAATAAAAATAAACTAAATTGCAAAAAACGTTCTTTCAATTTTTTGGCCGCTTTTTTATGCATCTGCAAATACAGAAGTTTTTTTTAGGAACTAATGCCACTATTCATTTTTCCCAAATGCATCCTGTAAGTTTGTCGAACTTATGAACCAGTTCGTAAAAAAATTAAGAAAAAGTAAGTTTATAAGAGGAGTATTGACGTCTGATAATTTTGAGGTCTGGAGGTCATTATGACGACCTGATGGCTCCAAAACGACTACTGACCATGAACTTCTAAACCCTTAACGCCAACTACTTTAAATATCGACTGTTTAGCTGGTTGTATGCGCCACTCAACAGAAAGTCTTCATTTGAGACAGAGCCATTTCTTGAATGAGCAGCGATCGGAGTATATACGTGCATCAGAATATTTGCCATAGTATATACAAGTGACGTATACGTAAATACCTTGGACACCAAACCCAACATACAACCTGTATATGCCGAGATATCTATTATTCCAATTGTCAATTAGTCATTTAAACCCCTTAGACACAAATCTTTCCCACGCCTTCAATCGGCGGCACTTTAATTATAAACATTTCACATAAACAAATCACACGCTTTTATCAACGACAGCAGACATGAACAATATTCAAACTTTTCAACAAAGGGTCCAGCCTGAGAACCCATTCGTCAGCATAAAAGCTTTGACCAATCCAAATTAGTTATCAAAAGATGCAGCCTAGAAACCATTCCATCCCGAGGCGAAAAACATAATCAGCGCAGCCGCTGGAATACAAGTAATATCCTCGCGCGCGACTACCTAAAAAGGAATTAATACAAGAAAGGAAAGGTAACTTCGGGCGGAGCCGAGGTTGATATACCCTTGTAGAATATGCTGTAAATTATATTCTCCAAAACTAATACTCATAAAAAATCCCAACTTCCTAGCCTTAAAACACCTAAGTTATGGCATTTCCAATCGTTCAGCTATATTGCAGCTATAGGATAAAGTCGGCCGATCCTTATGAAATTTGGTAGGTCAAAAAAACCCATAGAAAAGCGATAATAATCAGATTAATTTAACTCTTTCGCATAAATAAAAAAATTCAATTTGAACCATCAAAAATGGAACTGCCATCAACATCAGCAGCAGTCGCATCAGCAAAAGCTGCGCAAACCCTCTCAGATGTACCCATGAATCATTTCCTTCTGCATCTAAAGCAGATAAATAAATTCAATATAGACCCACTTTATTTGGCTCTCTTTATCAAGGAAGTCGACGAATTAGTCTACCATTACCCTACAACATCAGAAGGCCAAAATTAAATTATACAAGCAGACATTAGGAACCGAATCGCACAAGCACGATTACTCTTGATGAGAAATATACCACACGACTGGAAGAACTCTACTTATCAGCGAGTTCAACAGCGCAACTCCTCCACATTGAATGATAGCGGAATTACGTGAGACTAAATATAAAAATCATTTACGTAAATTTGTTGAAGAATTAGAAGAGCAGAATTTGTTGTAAACTGAGATTAGACAATAGTCTATCAAACACAAATTTAGTTTCAAGGACATTGAGTGATACATTATATTACGTTGAGAAAATATGATATTTCGACTCCTTTGAAGTAAAATAAGCTTTCCAAGCTGTAGGAATCTTTGAAGATAAATTAACAAATAATCGTTCGTATATGTCCCAAAACTGTCAAGAAAAAGATGAACTTCAAGATTTTATACCATCAAGATCGCACCAATATTCCCCAAAATCGTCCCCGAGTTTATTATAACATTTTTATGGGAAGAAAAATTCTTAAAGAATCGGCACAAAATTGGTTTTATGAAATATAGGTCAAATAGTAAATGTCATATAACGGAAGGACGTAATCGAACTGTGAGGAGTCTTAAAACTCCCCACAAATCCCGATGCTGGAAAATATTTTTAAAACAAGCCGAAGTTTATTTACCCTTGCAGTTGTTACAAAACGACTACATTTCGATTTATATGCCTATATTACTAAAAACAATGAAGCTAAGTCGACTTTGCGCTGAATTTCGCCATCGTTTCTATGGCAGCTTTATGATATTGTTGTGCGATTTTAACTTAATTAAAATCGTATTTCCATAAACTTTAAATGTAATAAGGTCCCAAAGAACAACAAAACCAAATTAAAAACAACAAAGTTACATTTTTTGAATTCTTTTTTCCGATTGTTCCTATGGGAGCTATATGCTATAGTCGCCCGATCCGACTCCTTCCGACTTGTATACTACCTGCAATAGAAAGACAACTTTCACTCAATAATCTTTGGAGTGAAACCAAATACGAACTGTCCTCGGATCATTTGCTAGTTGTTGCAATACTAAGTCACATACCGCAATACAAGCCGAGAAGGAAATCCATACTACAGCCCGGCTCCTCCATCGGTCAGAAGCTTAAGTCTTAACACTTAAATAAACCATCCAAATAATTACGAAGATGCGGTAAAGATCTTCATGGAAAAATAACACAATAAATAAGACATTTTTCAAACCAAAGCAGAACAAACTGCTTCCACAAAATGCTTTAGCTCTCAATGGACTAAAAAAAATTTGTCGGGAATATACAAGAACAAATTCTGGCAAAGAACAGGCAATATCAGTTTGACTAAATGTTGGAAAAAGTCAAAATGCATCGACCAACTACTTTTAATGGAAGCTTACGAATCCATTTAATACACATTTCCTCCCACTCTGAAGAAGGTCGTGACACAGATCGGAAAGCTAAAAAAACGCAAAACTCCAAGAGTGGAACCCCAGTTAACAAGATTATCAAGATTCTATCTGCTTTTATGTTCATAGTCTTATTGTTCAACAGCGCTTTGAAATCTGCTGCCATAGTGGTGATTCCCAGCCTAGAAAGCCGCCCAACGACGAAGATGCTTACGGTCCAATCAGTCTTCTACCTGCACTGGGAAGAATGATGAAAAGGATGTTGCTGGATACTAGAAAGCGTGAGCAGAAGTATTCCAAAATAGAAGTTTAAGCATATCCTGGCTTCCTTTGTCGATAAATAGGGTCTCATTGTCCAACAAAGTTTGTATATACAAATCCACTCTAAGCCCAATTTTAAAATATGAGCAAGAGGGAGCGGCATGACGTCCAAATCTAACTTCAACAAAATTAAAGTAAAGGTCGTTAGATTTTTTTTTTTTTTTCGCGGAGTCCCACGGCCCATTTACCCGCCCAACTAACCGAGGGGCGCAGCCGTGTATCTTACGGCATGATTCGCGAGAAGATAGACGAGAGATAAGGAAATATAGGTAAAAGTCCGAGGAAAAAAGTAATAGAAAGATCAATTTTTTTGCCAATGAAGATAGTATTAATCGTTTTAGTAGCGGCAGAGAGTCAAGATTTGAGATTATAGGAAAAAATCTATTATAGTCAGAACATAATACTCTGAAAGGCTCATGCAAGGCATAGTTAGATCTACAATGATTTAATATAGAAAAGTTTAGCCGACTTACCAAGTCGGTGGAGTCAATATTACCATGTATAAGGTTATAAATGAAGACAGTACCAAGCATCGTTCTACGGTTGGCTAGGGAGGGTAAATTAATCAACAGAAGTCTACTTGAATAAGAAGGTAAGTTAAGATTTGCATCCCAGTTTAGGCGCCGTTAAGCAAAAAGAATAAAGTTTTTTTGTACTGATTCAATATGTATTCCGTATTGTGGACTCCAGACGGGAGACCCATACTCCAGAATCGGGCGGACTAACGAAATAAATAAAGTTTTAGTTAAATAAGGATCATCGAATTCTTTTGACAACCTTTTAATAAGTCCAAGCACTCCTTTGGCTTTATTAACCATGGACGAAATGTGGTTTGAAAATTTTAGTTTAGGGTCCAAGAGAACGCCAAGATCGTTAACAAGAGTTATTCTATCCAAAGAGCTGCCACTTAATGTGTGAGTCGCGTATATCGGATTGACCCGATAAAAAGTCATCAGCTTGCACTTAGATGCGTTTAAATTTAGTAAATTATCTCGACACCAGTTTTGAAAATTATCTAGATCGGATTGCAAGTCTAAATGGCAGGAAATGTCCTTATACTGCAGGCACAACTTAACATCATCTGCGTAAATAAGTACGCGAGAATGACTTATAATTGAGGGAAGTTCGTTAATAAATAATGTAAAAAGTAACGGACCCAGATGGCTCCCTTGTGGGACCCCGGAAATAGCACGCAGAATTTCAGAAATTGAATTTTTAAAAAGGACTCTTTGTGACCTGCCATTTAGATAACTTGGGATAGATCTAAGAAGATCAACTGGAAAACCTAACAGGTCCAGTTTTTGAACAAGAAGTAAGTGATTTACAGAGTCAAATGCTTTACTAAAGTCAGTGTAAGTGACGTCTGTTTGAAAACTACTATTGAAGCCTTTTATCACAAATGCAGTGAGCTCTAGAAGGTTTGTGATTGTGGATCTACGTTTAATAAATCCGTGTTGACACGGAGAAATGATTGATCTGCAAAGGTGCTGCAAATGAGGAGTAATAATTTTTTCAAAAAGCTTAGGAATAGCTGACAACTTAGAAATACCTCTGTAGTTACTGGCTTCTAACTTGTTACCTTTTTTGAAAAGAGGAATAACAAATGATTCCTTACAAATATTTGGGAATTGGGAAGTTTCTAGAGATAAGGTAAACAACTTGTGAAGAGATTTGCACAGGGCTTTAGCGCAATACCTAAGCACGCACCCAGGAATACCATCGGGCCCTGGTTAATAAACAGGCTTAATACGAAGAAGATCCAAAAGAAGAGAGCTTTCTGTTAAAGTGGGACATAATATGAGGTTTGACTTGGATATGGTGTAACAATAAGGCTGTGATAAATAATCTAAAGTAGAGTAAGTCGTTTGAAAAAATTGGGCAAATAAATCGGTGGTTGCCGTCATGTTTTCGAACGACAGCGAGGAAGGAAAAGAATTAGACTTACGCTTGGTGTTAACAAAATTATAAAACTGTTTCGGGTCCTGAGAGAACTGGACCTTACAAT